GCTCTATCCACTGACCCAAACCAGCTAGGGCACACCTGGCGTTTCTTTAACCCTTTAGTGAGGGGTCAGCAAGATGGTAAAGCCAAAGCTTTGAGTTCTCTGACAGGGGATTGCAAGTTAGATACAGGCTGCTTAATGTCATATGAACAATAAAACTGCCATTGGGGGAGGTTATCTCTTCTCCTCGGTAAAATGATTTACAGCAGATCCATCTGTACGTTGACATCTGCCTCCCCGGAGTCTAGGCCTAATAGAAACAGTAAATCAACCACAGGTATGTCTTACTGGGTAAAGGGCTGGCCACTGCTTTTGTAAATAAAGTTTATTGGACGCAGTGGGTGTGGGGCTGCATTCATGCTGCAGCCACAGAACGGACTAGTTGCGACAAAGACCAAAGGGCCTGCATATTTGCTTTGTGGTCCCCTGTAGAAACAGTTCTCCAGCTGCTGTGCTGGAGCGTGAAGGAAGTCTCAGGTGGGCCTTCTAGTCAGGCTGCAGCGTGACATATGAAAGTCCTGTGGTCAGCCTTCAGCCTGTTTGCTGGTGTTGCATCATTTTCTTAGCATTGTCTGGTCTGGAAGGCCTTGTGTTTGGAAGGCTCTTGTTAGGTCTTTGCTGATGCCTCCTCTGAAGTTAAGGACTGGCCCTCAGGTGCAGCCCCGGCTCAGGAAATAGACCCTTCCTGCTCTCACATCTGACCTCCCAGAGGGTGGGGTCTCTGTGGGCCCTAGATCAGCAGTCGCCAACCGGTGGTCCGCGAGGAAAGGCTGACGACCGCTGCCCTAGATCATTGTTGTCTGCCTTCCACTTATTGCTTCCTGCCATTGTGTTCAGCCCTGTGTCCTGGCAGACGAGACAGATCATTAAGAAGGATGATGATAATAACAGTAATAACCGCAATAGCGGACTGACATCGCACCTACAGTGTCTGTCCGAGAACACAGCGCTTTACCCGTACCATCCCACTTAGTCACACGGAGTCAAGGGACTTTTCTAGACAAAACCAAGGCTGCTGTTGGTTCTTTAAAGAAACCTTCCTGGTGCTCCTGTGTGGCAGCAGGTGCTACGTCACTAAAGCTCAATTCTCATCACTCTTCGCCCTGGACTGCATGGACCCTGGGGTTGACTTTGCCATTGCTTAGACCCAGGAAATCAGAGGCAGAGCCAAAAGAGTGAGGCTCCAGTTTGGGCACTGCTTATCTGTGAAATGGACATGATATTATTTATCCCCTCCCTGCTGGAGTCTCTGTTAGAGTTAAGTAAAGAGCCTATGGGTGGTATGTGAACCCTAAAAACACTACACAGACGTTGGTGGGTTAACCCCCATCCTGCTCCTGTTACAGCTTCTTAATTCTTTCTGGATCCACGGAGAAAATCAGAATATGCACATACGCATAGGTTTTCCGTATTTTTGCATGTGGTTTTTCAAGGTGTTTGTGGAGCTCCTGCAACTGGGAATTCTTGAGCCATCAGCTAAAAATTGGGGACTTGTAACTGTTCTAAGTCCTTCCTTTTGCCTCCTCTGTCATAATTGAACATGTGTCTACTGAGCTCCTTCTGGTGCAGGGAGAGGCAGTACAGGGAATGGTCCACACATGGCCCTGCCCCCTAAGCCTCTCTAGTCACTCAGCAAGCACCCAAGATAATGTCAAGAGTGGTAAGTGCGATAAGAAAAGCATCACAAGATAATATGCCAGAATATGGTTTGAGAAGGAAGGAGTGACTTCCACTGGGGAGGTCAGGGGAGGTCTTTCTAAGGTGTTGAGACCTGATGGATGAGAAGGAGCCAGTCACTGTATATAATAAAAGACTAATATGCAAATAGACCAAACGGTGGAACAACCGGTCGCTATGTTGTGCACTGAACATCAAGGGGAGCGCAGAACATGGCGGGTGTGGGCAGCAGGCGGCAGAGCACGGAACATGGTGGGCATTGGCTGTGGTGGGATGGTGGAGCAGGTGAGCGAGGGCCAGACCAAGGTGGGGCGCCGGTCGCTGTCATCAGGGTGAGCCTCTGGTGGTTACTGAAAATTCTTTGCTCCCGAGTGCCACAGTCCTGCCCGGAGCTTGCACCTACTGCTGGTGCTGGTCCTGCTCGCACCTGCTGCTGGTGCTAGAGCCACTGCTCGCGCCCGGTGCCAGCCCTGATAGCTCAGTGCCGTTGGCAGGTGCGAGCGGCAGCTGCCGGCCCCAGTAACCCCTGAGGGCTACTCCACCTCCCCCTGCTCCTGAGGGGCGATCGGGGCAGCAGCCGCTGCTCACACCCACTGATGGTGCCGGTCCTGCTCACACCCACTGCTGGCACCAGCCCCAATCGCTCCGCGCCGTCAGCAGGGGCAAGCAGGGCTGGCGCCGTCAGAGTGTGGGAGCAGTGACAGTGGGAGCGGGCTGCCGGCAGGCAGGGGACCGGGTGCCACGGCTGGAGGGGCTGAGCAGGAGTGCAGAGGATGGACCGAGACCTGCCCCTGTGCCCACTGCAGCCTTGCGGCTCACAGCTCCTTTCAAGGTGCACGAATTTGTGCACTGGACCCCTAGTGGGAGGATAATAAGTAGGGTGCTCTAGCCAGCACATGCAAAGGTCCTGAGGTTGGACTGAGCCTGGGTGTGTGAGGGCAGAAAGGAGACCCGGGTGGCTGCTGCCTGGGGCTGGGAGGACTTGGGCCACAGGCACTGAGACCACATGAGCCCTCTTGGCCTTGACAAGAAGTTATTTTTATTCTCTAAGCCTCTGCTGTCCAATGCAAGAGCCAATGGTCATAAAAATTGAAATGGAAATACAATTAAAAGTTTGGTTTCTCAGTAGAAATTGGAAACTGTGTGTACCCTTGGCAGGAATGTAAAATGATACAGCCACTGTGGAAAACAGCACGGTGGTTCCTCAAGAATTTAAAAATTGAATTACCATAGGATTCAGCAATTCTACTTTTGGGTATAGACATAAAAGAATTGAAAGTGGTCTCGAAGAGAAATCTGTACACCCATGTTTACAGTAGCACTATTGACAATGGCCGAAAGGTGGAAGCAACTTAAAAATGTGGTTTCTCGTGGCATTAACCACAGTCACCAGCCGCAGGGGAGAAGTGGCTGCCATGTCAGACAGCACACAGATTGAGAAGGTTTCTGTCGTCACAGGATGTCCCATCAGGTAGTGCCGCTCGTGTGCAGACGGGCTGCAGAGGTCACTTCCACTCCCTGGCTCCCGGGCCCACTCAGCCGTTTGCTGCAGCAAGAAGCCTGAGGGTTTGGAGTGAAGAGCACTCCGGTGTCCAAGGCACGATTCACGCTCGCAGGGAGGGAGTGAGGCAAGCCCCTCCGCGCACAGGCTCTCGCTGCCCAGGTCTGTCCGGCCACAGGGAGGCCGTTTGTCCATGACAGTCTGGGAAGGGAGGGCTGGCCACCAGGGTCCAGGCCACATGCCGGGGGGCCGAAGTCCAGGGGGAACTGGGCAGCAGTGAGCGGTGAGACACTGGGAGGAAGGGGTGTGTAACGAGCTGCTGGAGGAAGCCAGGAAGGCGCCCAGCCCGCGTGGACAAGTTCAGTCGCATTGAACAAGAACATTTCTCCAGCCACGAAATCCATGCACAGCGTCTGCCCGTCCCCAGGGCCTTCTCTTTCCTGCCGTCCGTCATCTCGTTCAGGCCGCAGCAGGAATGTTACCTCTCGTCACCTCTGGCACAGTGCGTGCTGCGTATCCAGTTACACGCTTGTGTGTTTGAGTAACTAAGATGCCTTCTTCATGAGACTGTGTGCTCCCTAAGGCAGGGCCTGTGGCCTGCAGCGGCTGCAGCATCTAGATTAGTGTGAGCCCATGTCTGCTGAAGCAGTATGTGACTGTTGTGCAGTTTGCTTAACCTTCTTGAGCCTCAGTTTCCCCCTTTGTGAAGTGGAGACAGTAATATGTCTGTTTATGCCAGTTGTGTGCTGGAGCTGGCTTGCTAGAGTCAACTGTCCAATTTTCAGGAAATTTGCGAACTGGTTGTTAAGCTATTATTACAATTTAAATAATATAAACTTACAATTAAACAAATTATGTTAAAATCAAAGGTAACAAATACTCAAAATTCACTGCATCCTAATGATCTCACTATAGTTTTCTATAAGTAGTCCCTTCTTATCCATGGTTTCTCTTTCCATATTTTCAGTGACCTGTGGTCTGAAAATATTATGGAAAATTCCAGAATTAAGCAATTCATAAGTTTTAAATTGTGCGCCATTCTGGGTAGCATGAAGTCTCTTGCCATCCCACTCAGCCCCTCCCGAGATGCGACTCATCCCGTTGTCCAGTGTCTCCACCATTTATATGCTCCCTGCTCATTGGTCATTTAGTGGCGGCTCGACTATCAGATTGACTGTCGTGGTATCTGATAAGTGACCCTATTTTACTTCATAATGCCACATTCACATAGCTTTTCTTACAGTCTATTGTTATAATTACTCTATTTTATTAGTTATTGTTGTTAATCTCTTATTGTGCCTAATTTATAAATTAAACTTTATCATATGTATGTTCAGGAAAACACATCATATCTATAGAGTTGGGTACTGTTCAAGACTTAGGCATCCACTGGCGGTCTTGGAATGATTCCCTCATAGATGAGGGAGGGCGGCTGTATTTATGCTTTTGAGGTTATTTGCTACTATTCAGTCTATATGGTGGAAGTACTGTTTATGCCGTGGTACCATGTACCTCTCACCAGCTCCATGTTCAGTAACTTGAGGTTGGTGGTATTTACACCGTGGAAATTGGCAGATGCTACAGGTCAGATCCTCTCTTACCCCCTCTCTCTGAAGTGGTGGTTAACATTTACAGCACACCACTGGTTTGGGGGCTTAATGAGTTCGTGCTTTTGTTAATGGCTTTGTGCATGGGGCCCAGCATGTGCTGTAGAAGTGAAGCTGTTGTTATTATTTTGTTTCGCCTGCTTTCCCTAATCTAGCACTGCTGTTCGTGCGGACAGGAGCTGGACAACCCACTGACCGGCTGGTTTTTCTCTCCCCAGTCTGCCCGACCAGCTGCAAGTCGCACGGCTGCACTGCTGAAGGCCTCTGCTGCCACCCCGAGTGCCTGGGCAGCTGCTCTGAGCCCGACGACCCCACCAAGTGCGTGGCCTGCCGCCACTTCTACCTGGACGGTAGGTGCGTGGAGACCTGCCCAGCCCCGTACTACCACTTCCGGGACTGGCGCTGTGTGAACTTCAGCTTCTGCCTGGACCTGCACAACAAATGCAAGAACTCGCGGGGGCAGGGCTGCCATCAGTACGTCATTCACAACAACAAGTGCATTCCTGAGTGTCCTCTGGGTACACGATGAATTCCAGCAAGTGAGTCCCGGGTGTGGGTTCTCGGTGGGGGGTGGGGGAGTGGGGGGGAGGGGCGGGTAAGGAACGTGGGGCTGGTGAGGTGGTGCTACCTGTTAAAATCTAAAGAACAAAATAAACTAACGAACAAAATGGAACCGGAAGCATGGGTACACGCTCGCGCCTGGGGGACTTGGTAATGAGGTGAGTGAGTTCGGTGAAGGGATTAGCTAAAGAACATGTATGCACAGCCCCTGGACATGGACAATAGTGTGGTGACGGCCAAGGGAGGGGGAGGTGTGAGTGGGTGGAAGATTGGCCAAGGGGGCAGAAAACGGGGACAGTTGCAATAATTTCAACATTAAACAATTTTAATAAACAACCCGTGTGAAAAACCAGCATCCGTTGCTGTGGGTGAGGGTGCTGAGATGACCAGGGCATGTACTTGGGAACCGTGGGAGGGCGCTGAGATGACCAGGCCATGTACTTGGGAACCGTGGGAGGGTGCTGAGATGATCAGGCCATGTACTTGGGAACCGTGGGTCCATGTCTGCCTCCTGTTTTGGTCCTGGCCTTCGCAGCAGAGTCGACAAACCGTCTCTGTAAAGGGCCTGAGAGTAAGTACCTTGGCATCTTGCACATGATTTTTAAAGCTTTCTGTGCTGAGCGTCGGGAGCAGAAAGCACACAGGCAGCAGTCCCTGGCTTCCCGTAGCATCCTTCACATTCGCGGGACGGTCCCCGCTGCTGTGACTCCCTGGCTCTTACACCCAGAGTGGAGCTCAGGTTTGTGTTTCTTCTGACCCGGAGCTGGACAGCGCGTTGAGATGAGCCCGGAGCACGAGAGGGAAGAGACTGATTCTCGGTCATTCCCAGGCTTTCTCGTACTGGGAAGCGGTTCTCTTTCTTTGTTGTGAGTCAGATGGCCTATGCACATTGCAGACATGTGTTCATCTTGTTAGCTTCTTAGATGCTATTTTGGTTTCTTGGGGCTGTAATCAAGCTTAAAAAAATCTGTTTTCTGGTTTTTGTGTTGCGGGTTTGAAAAAACCCTCCACAAAACAACACAAAAACAGATCAGAAGCAGGCGCACACCGAGGGTAAGCTGACCTGCTCATCCAGAAATCTCCCCTACAGACTCGAGAATTAGAGTGTTCTGGTGGGAAGTTTTATTTCCCGAAAAAAAAAATACATCTTTATTTCAGTTCTTACGAGGCTCTCTTCGAATGTTTGTGAAACCTGCAAGTACAACATGTTTTGTTTTATTAGTGTTTTTTTTTTTTACAAAAACCTGTTCCGTGGCTTTGTTGACCAAAAACAGGCAATTATAAATCACTTTGCATGGCAGGAAGACCCTTTTCTTTTTCTTTTTCGGGCCAGTTCATCAGTAAGGTTGGGGAAATGACCATATTCCTTTTGACTCCTTTTTGTTTGTTTTTTTAATGAATCTTCTAGTAAGATGTTTATTTAAAAGACATTGGCTTTAAATAGAAGGAATTCTCTCTGAGAAGCCCAGCAACCTTCACTGATGTTCTCCTGATGGTGTGGTGGCCCCTGGAGCCCGCGCCTCAGGAAATGGGCGCTGTGTCCCGCGGTGCTTGTGACCTTCGCTGAGTGAGAGAGGGCAAAGCAGGCAGTGCTAATTACGACTCTTTATGGCACAATTCTACTTCGAAGGTTTTGAAAAAAATGAATATTTTTTTCTTCTGAAGTTTTTAAAAATAAAAGATGTTCTTATGAAATATGTTAGTCCTATCACATTTTCTAATGTGGTTTGATATCAAATAGGACCAGATATGCTTTCTTCCATTCTTGTGGCTTATCCAGAAATAGTTCTTGGTGTTTTCAGAGCAGAGTCTGGGGGCACATGCAGAGTCCTGGGGAGACGCCTGCCGAGAGCAGTGTGTGCTCACTGAGATGGGGAGGACTCGGTATTTGGATGAATGTTGTGTCCCTGTTCCCTCCCCATCGAATGCTCTGCCCCTTGATCTTTGCACGGCCCCCTTCTTCTGGTCCAGGCCACAGCTTGTAAGTCACTTCCTCTGAAGTCCTTCCCCGTGTGCCCACTTTGTCTGAATTAGTTGTCCAGCTCCTTTTTGGCACATCACTCAGGTTAACTCTTTTCATGGCTTATACCACAGGCTGATGTTGTCATTGTCAATTTATTAATTTTCCTCAACTCCACCAGCAGCTGGACCAGGGTATCAGTTAGCTCCTGCTGCCTGGAGAGCAGCCCGGCACTCAGTACCTCACACTCACTTACGGTTTCTGACGGCTGATGGAAGGTTTGTCTGATGTGGGCAGGGTCGGCCCTGACTGATGGCGTAAGACAGCCAGCGCTCATATCCTAGATGGGCAGCCGGGGCCTCTCGGTGTGGTTTCTCGTCCTGGCAGCCAGGAGGGCATGCTCCAATGTGCACGTACTTTTCAAGCCTCTACTGACATCTCATTTGCTCATGTTCCATCGGCCAAAGCAATTCACCTGGCCAAGCCCAGATTCCCTGGAAGAGGACATAGACCCCACTCGGTGGGAGGCCGAAAGGAACATGTGGCCGTTGATAATGTCCCCAGGGAAAGTCGGTTGTTTTGTTCACCTCGTGTGCCTGTGCCGTGGAGCAGGCATTGGCAGGGCCCAGAGTGTAAATATTTTTAGTCTGAAGGCCATATGGTCTCTGCTGCAGCTACTCTGACATGATGGCATGAGGATAGCCACAAATGACCCATAAACCAGTGGGTGTGGTTGTATAGAACGTTCTTTAAAAAACAGGTGGCCATGGACTTGGCATCGGCTGTAGTTTGTGGATCTCTAGCTTAGAGCGTCGCCTGTCACGTAGTGCTCAGTGAGTAGTTGTAGGACCAACAAAAGAACCGAACTTTTGGTCACAGTTCTGCATCCACTGCAGCTGTGCGGACACCACAGGGTGCACTGCACTACAGTTTGACACTAGGCACCTGGAGTCCGTATCAGACCACAGGTTGAAGACTGTTCTCCACAGGACTGCCCTCGCTTCTGACACCAGCCACGCTTCGGGGTCCTTAGGCCACCCTCACTTCTGATCGACTGGCTATAAATCTGGGGGTTCCCACAAACCCTTTGGGTTCAATAATTTGCTGTAACATCTCACAGAACTAAAACACGGCTGTAATACGTTGCGGGTCCCGAGCCTACTGATGGTACCCCCTCATTTAGGAACGCGCACTGCACACACGTTCCCATAGGGAGCTCCATAGACATCCTCCCACCAGGGCCCCTGCTTATGGCTTGACTGGCTCTCATGGTTCTTATTGTGATCACAGGACACACTTCAAAATGAACCACCAGGGGACTTTGAGGAACAGATCTGTTACTCACAGGTCCTGGAGGGTACATGGTACGCCCAGGCCAGGGGTGGCAGAGAGAGCGAGGGTGGTGGACCTGGGGCTCTGCCTATAATAAGTCTGAGGGTGAAGCATCTGCCGTTTCCTGGTTCTCTCTCTTTTTTTAAAATATATTTTATTGTTTTTTTAAAAATATATTTTATTGATTTTTTACAGAAAGGAAGGGAGAGGGATAGAGAGTTAGAAACATCGATGAGAGAGAAACATCGATCAGCTGCCTCCTGCACACTCCCTACTGGGGATGTGCCTGCAACCAAGGTACATACCCTTGACCGGAATCGAACCTGGGACCCTTGAGTCCGCAGGCTGACGCTCTATCCACTGAGCCAAACCAATTAGGGCCCTGGTTCTCTCTTTATTGTCGAATTTAAAGCATAAGAACAAGAAGTAGGGTCCAGGAAGGGGGAAGCACGGTCACCCAAGTAGTCAGGGATCTGGTGACCCAGGGCTTTCTGCAAGAAGGGCCTTCACGGGTGGAAGGAACCTGATTCCCTCGCTGGTGGGTTTTACTGCTCACTGTATCATAGGCTGGCGTTGTGTTTATTCAAGATGGATGTCCCCTGAAGTGGATGCCTCAGCAATCAAAGCTTGATGTGCGCATACCCGACCTGTACCTCTGGTTACAGCGTTGTCATTAGGGTGCTGGCAGGGTGAGGTCTGGTGACTCCAGGAGTCCCCTGTCTCCACAGGTAGAATGAGATCCTGTCTCCATGCGGTTCAGTGAGTCCCCTGGGGCTGGAGCACAGCAGGAGCCCTGCCGTTGGGGGGAGAAGTGCTAGTCCCCTGGTAATGCCGGGACCTGCTGCCGCAGGGAAGGGGGGAAGCCTGCCGTTGTGGGTAGTGGCTTTTACCTGGGCCGTCTGGCCTCTTCCCTCAGGGGTCAATGTCTGAGACATTATGGCTTCCAGTCCCTGGTTGCGGTGCTATTGGGCGTCAGTGGGTGAAGCCGAGGGGTGCTGCTCAGCACCCTCGATGCTCAGGACGGCCCTCACAACGGATCGTTCTCGGGCCTCAGCTGCTAGCAGTGCTGTGGGCATCCCTTGGGACCCTGTGCAACTGCGTCTGCTGCGTGGAGGGGGGTCCTGTGTGCCCTGACCCTCTGCCTTTGCTTTTTACTCAGCTTGATGTGCACTCCGTGTCTGGGCCCCTGTCCCAAGGTCTGTCACATCCTGGAAGGTGAGAAGACCATCGACTCAGTGACAGCTGCCCAGGAGCTTCGAGGATGCACCGTCATCAACGGGAGCCTCATCATCAACATCCGTGGGGGCAGTGAGTGCAGGGGGTGTCCCGCTGGGGTCCACGGTCCCTGGCGGTGGAGGAGGGAAATGGTCTAGACTTTGCTTCCTGCTTCCTCGGCGGTTTTAAGACTATCTTGAGTCAGTTGTTACCAGACCTGTAATTCAAAGCTCATCTGGTCCCACTCTCCCTGATGAGATTCTGATTTTCCACATTCGTAGCTGGGACATCAGGAATTTGCATTTTTAATAAACGGCAACCTTCCCTATTGCAGGTCTGAGGACTGTGTTTCCAGAAATACCGTCACAGGCAAAAAGGCATTCCTTTGTTTACATGTTCAGCAAACATTTGTGGAATATGTAGTGAACGGGGCAAAGTCTGTGCATGATGGGTCTTGCCAATAAGCAGATCAGTTTATGATATAAACTCAGGCAGTGGTCCCACTATGCGGGGAAGCAAAGTGTGGCAGTGGAGGGAGTGGGATGGTACCCTTTTCTTATAAAGCGCCATATAATAAATTTATTCAGCGTGGCAGACCAGAGGGTATCTATTACAAGTCCTCAACTCTGCCCTTGTAGAGAACATGTGAACAAATGGATGTGGCTCTGTGCCAATAAAACTTTATTTACAAAGCAGACTGGGTTTGGCCAGCGGACTGGAGTTTGCAAACCTCTGAAGCGGAATAAGAGGTTGCTATTTTAGAAGGGTTTCTGGTCAGAGGAGCCATGCTTTGAGTTGGTAATAGCGCGAACCAAGCTAATAGATGGGAGAGTGACATTCTGGGCAAAGGAGGCAGCCAGGCAAAGTCCCGAGGCCGCGTGTGCGTGGTCTGCTGATGGGAGGGTGCGGAGGCCCAGGTGCCTGAAGTAGTGGGAGCAAGTAGGAGTGAGACACAAAGCAGCAGTCACTTACTTAGGGATTTGCTGACCCCGTAGTAAGGACTTTGGATTGTATTTTAATTAAGTATGATTCATTTTGAGCAGGATATGTCTAAGTCATTTTCAGGTTGTAATTTAACTCCTTCCTATGAGAAATTATAGGAAGATTAAAAGATTTCTATAAAACTCACTGGGTATTTTCTCTTTTCCTTAGACAACCTGGCAGCTGAGCTCGAGGCCAACCTCGGCCTCATTGAGGAAATTTCAGGGTATCTGAAAATCCGCCGCTCCTACGCTCTAGTGTCACTTTCCTTCTTCCGGAAGTTACGTCTGATTCAGGGGAATACCTTGGAAGTTGGGTATGTGGGCCTGATTCTGTGTCTATGGCCTGAGCACTAACTAGGAAGTGTGTGAGTTATAAAAAGTTAGGGGTGTTTGCCAAGACATGGGAACAACCTGAGTATCTCTCTATGGATGAATAATAAAGAAAATGTGGTATGTGCATTTATATATGCAGGGAGTATTATTCAGTCATATTATTCATAAAAAAGAGTGAGATGCCGCCATTTGTGACAACAGGGATGGACCTAGAAGGCATTATGCTAAGCGAAGTATGTCAGACAGAGAAAGATAAATACTGGATGGTCTCACTTATATATAGAATCTTAAAAAAACAAAAACAACAACAACCCAAGATCATAGCTAGAGAGAACAGATTGGTGGTTGCCAGAGGCATTGGGGGGAGGATGGGCAAAATGGATGAAGGATGGGCAAAAGGTACGAACTTCCAGTTACAAATTAAGTCCTGGGTATCTAATGTGCAGCATAGTGACTGCAGTTAACAATACTGTATTATATATTTGAAAGATGCTAAGAGAGTGGATTTTAAAAGTTCTCATCACAAGAAAAAAATATTTCTTAACTATGTGAGGTGATGGATGTTAACTAAACTTAGTGTGATAATCAAATGTCACATCATTATAAAATACACCTAAAACTGATGTTAGATGTCAATTATATCTCAAAACTGGGGGGAGAATAGAAGCACTCAATGACGTATACATTATATTAGTTTCAGGTATACACCATAATGATTCAATATTTGTGTATATTCTGAAATGATCACCACAATAAGTCTGTTTCACATCCATCACCATACATAGCTACAAAAAAGTGTTTTTCCTTTGTGATGAAAACCTTTAAGATCTGTTCATTTGGCAGCTTTCAAATATGCAATGCAGTGTTGCTCACCACAGTCACTCTACTGTAACTTAGGGATTTTTAAAGCCAGAAAAACATCTACTAGGAGAAAGTGCCTGGAGAACCTTGAGAGAGAGCAGTGTGTGTTGGAACATGTCTGAAGACCCACCAAGGAAAGTGGTACCCATTCTACAGTCATTCTTGGAAGTCACAGGGGTACAGCCTAACGTTGTGCCCTCCCAGGGCGCCACCTGCAGTGACACGGTGTCTGGCTCTCTGGGCTTCACTGATTTGGCGTGCAAGCCTGACCAGGACCCTTCAACTGCTGCCTCCGGGGCCTTCTCACGTCCCGGTCCCATTCATACTGATTTCACCTGTTCCTTAATGAAATCTTATCTCCTCTGGCCTATAGGATTCTACCTCCCCAAGATATTCTGATGGCCTCCTGGATTTTCTTCCTTATTTCTTGGATTTCCTACCCTTGAGTTTGCGCTGACCCCACTTCAGTTAGTAAAATAATAGAAATCCAGACTAGCCACGTTTCATGCAGATTGAGATGGACTTGTGAACAAGAAGTCTGAGGAAGGCCGTCCAACAGTGTCATCAAGGATAGGACCCAGGCCTCTTCCATCTTTATGTGATCATGGTCACAGAATGGCTGCCTTACATCTGTAGAACTGACAGGGAAAAGGGAAAGGGACAAAGATATATGACAATTGAGAATGTCTCTTTCAAAACATTGTCTGGAACCTCCCACATTCTCACCCCCAACATTGAATTCTGTTTATATCTCCTTGGCCACAATTGAGTCGTGTGGCTGCTTCTAGCTGCAAGGGAGTGGGAAAGCCAATATTTACCTTTTCCAGTCTGTATAGTAGAGGAAGGCACAGGAAGAGGGGGATGTGAATGGTTTCAAGAAACCAATCCATAGAATTGTTTAGACTACGTTCTGGAGTCACTCACCAGCGCCCGTTGATTTTTCTGCCACACAACTGCTTTTTTGTTGAAGTTCAGACCTTTATTTGGATTATTCCAATGATCCTAAGCCGGGCATCCTAGAACTAGACCAGTGCTGTCCAACAGAAATATAATGCAAGTCACATGTGGCTTCAGGTGTGCTAGTAGCCACATTTTAAAAACGTTAAAAGAAATAGGTAAAATGAATTTTAACAATGTATTTTACTTAACCCATTACATCTAAAATGCCATTTCAACTTGGAACCATATGAAATATTATAAAGAAGATCTTTTATACTCTCTTATTTTGCATGCTGTGTGTTTTACTCCCAGTACAGTTCAGAATGGCCACATGTCAGGTGCTCAGCAGCCAGAGGTGGCTGATGTCTTCTGTATCGTACAGCACAGACCTGGATGCTTTCGTTCTCTCATTCATTATGTGCAGGTGGCCCATGGGCACAGGTCTAATCAAGTTACTGAGTTGTTATGAAACCTTCAGTGCTCCTCTCTGCCAACCCAATAAGGTCACATGATCTTAGTCTTGGTTTGGTATCCAGGATACTAGAGGGTTTGAGCTGCTGCAGCTCTCCAGTGACAGAGCAGGCTACTTTGCTCTTCTGTGGGCCCAGCTCAGGTGCCTTTGTCTTTTTAGTCTTTCCCGTCTGTGAAACCCATATCTCAATCCATTGTAGTCTTACTCTCCTCCCCACAAGAGGGATTTCAGATACCTTCCTGGCCATGAACACTTCCTCCAATTCCCTTGGCCCTCCTACCCCCCATTTTATACTTACTAAGTACGTGCCAAGCAAATGGTTAGGGCTGGGTATGTACTGCTGGGCAAGATCAACTCCAGCTATGGTCCCACCATCTTGTAGTTGGAGATTACAAGCCGATGAATGACTAGGTGTGTGTGTTTCCATAGGAACTACTCTTTCTATGCCTTGGACAACCAGAACCTAAGGCAGCTATGGGACTGGAGCAAACACAACCTCACCATAACTCAGGGGAAGCTCTTCTTCCACTATAATCCCAAACTCTGCTTGTCGGAAATTCACAAGATGGAAGAAATTTCAGGAACCAAGGGACGCCAGGAGAGGACCGACATTGCCCTGAAGACTAATGGGGACCAGGCGTCCTGTAAGTGGTGATGGCCCGGTACTTCCAGCCTGGGGACCAGATAGTGTGGCTTCCTTCCCTTCACCTACCACACTGGCCCCCAGGGATTAGCACTGCCTCCCCTGTGAGCTTACACAACTCTGTGTGCAATAGGCTTTCTGAAATACTGAGGACAGGTGTTGTCTCTGTACCAGATACAGTGCCTGATACTGGAAGATGTTACATAAACATTGAATGAATGAATGAATGAATAATACCTCCTTATATATGGCCTTGGATCAAATGTTACAACAGGCCCTGCAGTTGCTACAGCTGGAGACTGTCAGCTGACTGCACTCCTGTGATAGGTTCTCTCTTGAAGGAGTATCTGAGCACTGAGCTGCCAAGGCTTCCGTAATACTGTCACGCGGAGTTGATTCTTTACAGAAGAATGTGGTCCACACTGTGGGAATTCTGAGGATGAAGAGTGAGGTTGGGTGGAGCTTAAGGGAAGACTTGCATTCCAAGCAAAGGAAATTACTCTCTCCAAGATATTGGAGAGTCAAGAAATTGTCTGTCCAAGGTATAGTGATCTAAACTCACTTGGCATGTGCTCATTTGCACTAGAGTTACATCTTCTGACATGTCAGGCTTAAAGGTCCATGTGCATGTCAAAATTGTGTCAGGACTCTTAACTATTGTCCAATTTTCCTTCTCACATTGGTGCCAGCTGCTATTTTTCAGTTGAGCATCTGGCCAGGTAATTGGCTGGCAGTATGGGCCAACTGCCATGACCAGTTCTTGCCCTCACATGGGAGACACATGTGGGAGCAAGACCTGTCCATGGAACAGCAGGTTGACATCTCCTTTTCATCTCCTTTTCATGGACAGTCTTGGGAGTGTAGGGTCACCGCTTTATGCTGAAACAAATGATGAAATACTGATATTGTTGTGTGTTTTTTAAATAAACTTTTCTAGGTGAAAATGAATTACTTAAATTTTCTTATATCCGGACATCTTCTGACAAGATCATGCTGAAATGGGAGCCGTACTGGCCCCCTGACTTCCGAGACCTCCTGGGGTTCATGCTCTTCTACAAAGAAGCGTAAGTATAAAGTAAAAATGTGGATATTGCATATGTGCTCATTGTTCCCCTCTGAGGCTGCTCTATGTCGTCTTCCCACTTGTGGAATAAACTTGTGGAAAAGCCAGAAACTGAAGCAGATAGGTTTCATTAGGGGTCCAGATTGGCCAATCTCTAATAGCAATTATTTTAATTTGCCCTTTATATGTACATCTCACCAGATTTCTTCAGTGAAAGGTCACTCAGTGTACTTAATAGTTTTTTTTTATTTTATTTTTTACCTATTTTGTATTTCTCCATCATTTAAAACATTGGGGGAGGGAAATCCAAGATGGCAGTGGAGTAGGTGGATATTACACTTACCTCCTCCTAGGACTAAAAACTAGAATTACAACTAAAATATAGAGCAATCGGCCTCAATAATCAACTGAAGACTAGCTGAAGAAAAGTCTTATAACCAAGGATTTTTAGAAAAAGCCACATCAAGACTGGTAGAAAGGGCAGAGACACAAAAAGGGCTGGTCCTGCTCCCCTAGGCAGTGGCTGAAATTTTGGGGGGATATCTCAGCCGCTAACATCCCCCCTAAAAGCATGGGGTCTCAACCCCAATCTGGGCTCTCCGGGCCAGAGCGTTACAACTGGGAAGAGGTGCCCATATAACATATGGCTGTGAAAATTAGTGAATCTGTCTGCCAGGGAGAGATGGGAGTCTGCTAGAATGCACAAATCTTGTTCTCAGCCACTCACCCTGTGCTCTAGTGGAAGGAGGGTGGAGCAGATTAGAATCTCCTAAGGAGAGACAATCTCCTAAGGAGAGACTGGGGTTTGTGGCTCTGGAGAGAGAGAGATGAAGGGACAGCTGCCAGGATTCCTATGCTGAGTCCATCTCCCGCACCACAGATGCCATCTTTCTTATATGGTATTACCCTGGGGGAATGCAATGAGACCACCCTCTGGGCTCCCAGTTGTCCCACCCTGTGTAGCATGGGTCCTGCTGAGGAGTAGCTGCCTGGGCTTGGGTGTAGAAGTCCAGGCAAACTCAGTGGCTTTCCGTGACTGAGTTGTGTAGCTTTGGAGTAGAGGCCATTCCACCTACTTTCTGGTGAACCTGACTGGAGGCACCTCCCCTGCAGGAGATATCCACTAGCCCCACCCTCCTGACTCTGGTGGGATTGAGTTGCATGGTCTTACAGTGAGGGCCACTCCCACGAGGGCCACTCCCACCACCTTTCCCCAAACCTGACTGACAGCTCCTCCTCATGGGAGATCCACTAGACCTATCCTCCTGCTGTGATTGGATGGATTCTGGGACAGACTGAGTTGTGTAGCTTTAGTACAGAGACCATTTTTCTTTACATGCTCAACTGGTGCAAAGCCCTCCCTTCACAGGGCCAAATCTTGCTCTTTTTGGACCTGATAAACTCTGCTGGCCTTACTCTGCTGACTCCCTTGACCACGCCCCATCACAAATGTGTGTGAGCACCCAGTGGTGGCAGGTAGACTTTCTATACACTGGGACATTTGCTGAGTGGCCTCAGACCCAGCATTGGCACTGAGTTTGAACCTGTATCAGTCTGGCAAAAACCAGTCACCCCTACCTGGCAATTGAACCTGCCTTGTCCAATTGGAGTACTGCCAGTGGCTCTTTCAGTGATTGAGCCTAACAGGCAGCTGACAGGCAGCGGTGGATCTCAGGGTGCGTTGGGACTTTTGTGGACCTTTTCCTGGGCCTGGAACTTGTGAAAACCAGCCATAGTGCACAGCTTGTTTCTACCTGTGCACAGCCAGGTCCAGCAGAGGCAGCCACAACTGTAGACCACTTTGAAGCTTCAAACAGGTTGCCCAGGGATAGTCAAGGCAGCATCTGACATTGGACTGTGCCAGAGTTCCTCCTTAGAGGCCCCAGAACCAACACTCCCACTAGCCAGCTTTAGGCAACATCAGAGCAAGATCTAGTAAGCTTCACAAGTTGCATATCCAAAGGAAGATCTTGGCAGGCACCAGACCCTGCAGAGGAGAATTCAGCTCTGTGTAGTCAGCACCTGCACAAAGCTCATACACTGCAGTTGGGATTGATCCTCACAGTCAGCCAGTCTCAGGACTGACCCCACCTATGAATGGGCCAATAGCAGTCAAGACTCAATTATATGAGAAGGGCCCACATAACCCTCACAGGAGTCATTCCTGCAACACCGAGATCAGATGATCAAGGAGACTGCACATTGCAGTCCTGCAGGACATATACTGCATAAGTCCACCCTACCAAGACTGAGAGTTATAGCAGATCTACCTAATGCATAGAAACAACAGTAAGAGGCAGCTAAAATGGGAAAACAACAAAACAAGCCCCAAATGAAAGAACAGGAGAAATCTTCAGAAAAAGAGCTAAATGAAGTGGAGACAAGCAATTGATGACATACAGAGTTCCAAAGAATGGTTATAAGGATGCTCAAGGAACTTAGAATTATAAGAGCAAAAGAATATAGAAACCATTAAAAAGATCTGGTCAGAAATGAAGAATACAATATCCAAAATGAAGAATACACTAGAAGGAATAAACATTAGGTTGGATGAAGTAGGGGATCAAATCAGCGATTTGGTAGACAAGGTAGCAGAAAACATCCAGAGTGGCAAAATGAAAAAAGAATTTTAAAAAGTGGGAATAGTTTAAGGCAGTGGTCGGCAAACTCATTAGTCAACAGAGCCAAATATTAACAGTACAACGATTGAAATTTCTTTTGAGAGCCAAATTTTTTAAACTTAAACTATATAGGTAGGTACATTGTTATTAACTTAATTAAGGTACTCCTAAGCTGGCCTTTGCTAAAAACGTCCTTAATCTGATTGAGGTACGTTCGCTGAGGTCGACCCCTTCCAACTCTCCCATCCACACTCGTCTTGTATACTTGTTTCAGATGTGTGGATGGGAGAGTTGGAGGGGGTCGACCTCTGCGAACCATCGCCCGACCGACCGACCCCCCCACGTCTTCTAACGCCACTTCTTCAAAATAGACTCCCCCAGGCCAAAAACCGACTTCTGCGCATGGGCCACAAAGTTTCAATCGCACTGTACGTGTGTGCCCGCACGTGGTATTTTGTGGAAGAGCCACACTCAAGGGGCCAAAGAGCCGCATGTGGCTCGCGAGCCGCGGTTTGCCGACCACTGGTTTAAGGTACCTTTGGGACAGTATGAAGCCTACCAATATCCACTTCATAAGGGTACCAGAAGGAGAATAGAGAGAGCAAGGGATTGAAAACCTTTTTGAAGAACTGACAGAAAAATTCCCTAACCTAGTAAAGGAAAAAGACACACAAGTTCAAGAAGTACAGAGGGTCCCAAACAAGATGAATGCAGAGGCCCACACCAAGACATATCATAATTAAAATGGCAGAGGTTAAAACCAAAGAGAGAATCTTAAAAGCAGCAACTGAAAAACAGTTACCTGTTGTAAACAGTTACAACAGAGCTCCCGTAAGACTGTCAGTTGATTTCTCAACAGAAATATTTCAGACTAGAAGGGATTGGCATGAAATATTCAAAGTGATGAAAAGTGGGAATCAAGTACAACCAAGACTGCTATACGGAGCAAGGCTATCATTTAAAACTGAAGGAGAAATAAAGAGCTTCCCAGGAAGAAAAAGCTGAAGGACTTAATTTCCACAAAACCTGCATTATAGGAAATGTTAAAGGGTCTTCTAGAACAGTGGATGCCAACCGGTGGTCCACAGACCATTGGTGGTCCGTGAGGTCCGAAAGGTTGGCAACCACTATTCTAGAAGGAGGAGGAGGGGGAGGAGAAGAAGAAGAAGTAATAGAGAAACAGAGGCATAAAGAATAAAAACAATAAATACATACCTATCAATAATCACTTTAAGTATAAATTGTTTAAAAGCTCCAATCAAAAGACATAGGGTAGATGAATGGATAGGAAAAAAGGACCCATATATATGATGTCTACAGAGAACCACCTCAGAATGAAAGATACACATAGACTAAAAGTAAAGGGATGGAAAAAGGTATTTCATGCAAATGGAAATGAAAAAAAAGAAAAAAGCTGGGTAGCAATATTATATCTGACAAAATAGACTTTAAAACAAAGACTAGAATAAAAGGTAAAGAAGGATACTACATAATGATAAACGGAGCAGTCTAACAAGAAGATACAACCCCTGTAAAAATTTTGTACCCAACCTAGGAACATGTAAATATATTAAGCAAATCTTGATGGACATATAAAGAGAGAGATTGACAGTAACATAGTTATGGAGGGGTTTTTAACACCCAATTGACTACAATGGATAGAAGTTCCAGACAGAAACTTAGGGAAACTGGCCTTAAATGGCACACTAGATCAGACGGATTTAATTGGTACCTTCAGAGCATTTCACCCCAAAGCCAAAGAATACACATTTTCAAGTGCACATGGAACATTTCCTAGGATAGACCACATGTTAGGACACAAAACAAGTCCCAATAAGTTTAAGGAGATTGAAATAATGTCAAGCATTTTCTCTTACCATAATAGCATGAAACTAGAAATAACAAGAAAAAAACTGGAAAACACATAAAGGCATGGAGGCTAAATAATAAGTTACTAAACAATGAATGAGTTAACATTTAGATTAAGGAAGAAGTCAAAAGATACCTTGAAACAAGTGAAAGAAAACACAACAACCCAAAATTCTGGGACACAGAACAAACAGGTTTAAATGGGAAACTGATAGCATTTCAGGCCTACTCAAGAAACAAGTAAAATCTCTAATAGTCTTACCTTACACTTAAAGGAACTAGACAAGGAACAATAGCAGAGCCCAGAGTGAGTAGAAGAAAGGAAATAATAAAGATTAGAGCAGAAATAAACAAAATAGAGTCTAAAAAATAATATAAAAGATCCATGAAACAAGATATTTTTCCTTGAAAAGATAAACAAGATTGACAAACCTTTAACCAGACTCATCAAGGAAAAAAGATAGAAGACCCAAATACTAGTAAATATAATCAGAAATGAAAAAGGAGAAGTAACAGCTGACAGCACAGAAATACAAAGGGTTGTAAGAAAATATTACAAACAACTATATGCCAACAAAATTGGACAGTGTGGATGAAATGAATAAATTCCTAGAAACATACAATCTTCCAAAACTAAATCAGTCTGAATCAGAAAATCAGAATAGACAGATTGGAACTACGAAATTAAAGTAGTAATCGAAAACCTCCCAACAAACAAAACTCCTGGCTCAGATGGCTTCACAGGAGAATTTTACCAATCATTCAAATAAGAACTAACACCTATCCTTCTCAAACTATTCGAAAAATTTCAAGAGAAAGTCTCCCAAGCTCATTTTATGAGGTCGACAGTATCTTAATTTTAAAACCAGATACTCTACAAAGAAATAAACGTATAGGCCAATATCCCTGATGAACATAGATTCTGAAATCACCAACAAAATATTAGCAAACCAAATCCAGCTATACATTAAAAAGATCATACACCATGCTTGAGTGGTATTTATTTCAGAGATATAAGGTTGTTACAATATGCACCAATGAATAAATGTGATGACTACAGAAAAAAAAAGGAAGATAAATCACATGATCATATCAATAGATGCAGGAAAAGCATTTGATAAAATCTAGCATTCGTTTATGATGAAAACTCTCAGCAAAGTAGGAATAGATGGAACATACCACAACGTTATAAAGGCCATATATGGCAGGCCCATAGCCAACACCACAAGACAGGGATGTCCACTTTTACCACTCTTATTTGATAATAGTACTGAAAGTCCTATCCATGGCAATCAGACAAGAAGAGGAAATTAAAAGGCATCTAAATTGGAAAGAAAGAAGTAAAACTCATTATTTTCAGATGACATAATACTGTATGTGGAGAACTCTAAATATTCCACCAAAAAACTACTAGAACTGATAAATGAATTCAGTAAAGTAGATGGTACAAAATATCCAGAAATTAGTTAAATTTTTATATACCAATATTGAACTATCAGAAATGGAAGCTAAGAAAACAGTCCCATTTACAATTGCATCAAGAAAAATAAGATACCTAGGAATAAATTTAACTACATATGTAGTAGATCTGTACTTGGAAAATTATAAGACACTGTACTAAAAAATCAAAGAAGGCACAAATAAACAAGTATATCCCATGCTCACGGGTAGGAAGAATAAACATTTTTAAAATGTCCATACTATGCAAAGCAATGTATAGCAATTCCTGTCAAGATACCAATGTTGTATTTCATAGAACTAGAACAAATATTCCAAAAATTAAATGGAACCACAAAAGACCCCAAATAGCCACAGCAATCTTCAGAAAGAAGAACAAATTTGGAGGCATCAAATTACCTTATATCAAACTATACTACAAGGCATCATGGTACTGGCATAACAACAGACATTTAGGTCAGTGAAATAGAATAGAGAGCTCAGAAATAAAAATTTACACCTTTTTGATCAGTGAATATTTTGCAAAGGAGGTGAGGTAAAGATGGTCTAAAAATGGTTTTGGGAAAATTAGACAGATACTTGCAAAAAAAATGAAACTAGATCATCTTCTTACACCATACATGAGAATAAACTCAAAATGGATTAAAGACTTAAATGTAAGTCACAAAACCATAAAAATCCTAGAAGAAAACACAGGTCTTAAAAGCTACGACTGTTCTTGTAGGAATCTTTTTTTCTGATATATTTCCTCAGATAAGGGAAAGAAAAGAAAAAATAAACAAAAGAAACTACATCACAGAAAAGCAAACCAACAAAAGGAAAAGAAAGCCCAGTGAATGGGAGAACATATTCATTAATGATATATCTAATAAGGGGTTAATACCCAACATTTATAAAGAATTCGTGGAACTTAACACCAAAAAACAATTAGGAATGGCAAAGGACCTGAATAGACACCTCTCCAAAGAGGGCATACAGATGGCCTATAGATATATAGAAAAAGTGCTCATCAGAGAAATGCAAATTAAGACCACAAGGAATAACACCTCAGAACTATCAGAATGGTCCATCATGGATGGATTTGGAGAATATTGTGCTAAGTGAAATAACCCAGAGAAAAGCAACTACCGTATGATTGATTTCACTTGTATATGGAACCCAAAGAACAAAATAAACTAACAGGCAAAATAGAAATAGACTCATAGATACAGAGGACAGATTGATAGCTGTCAGAGGGGAGAGGGTTGGGGAAATGGGTGAAACCATTGAAGGGATTAAGCAAAAACCCCAAAACTCGGAGACAGTCATCAGTGTTGTGATTACCAGAGGAAAAGGGGTTGGGGAGAGGTTGAAGAGGGAAAATGGGGAATAAATGGTGATGGAAGGAGACTTGACTTGGGGTGGTCAATACACAGTAGAATATATAGATAATGTATTATAGAACTGTACGTCTGAAACCTTTGTAACTTTATTAACCAATGTCACCCCAATAAATTCAATAAAAAATAAAATGAAAATGTTACAGTGCTTCAGAAGACAGGATCACGGACACTTGACTTGACACATAGGTCGGAAAGGGCTTCCCTAGGGCAGCGGGGATGGACTGAAATATGAGGGAAGGGCCAGGGGAGTAGCAACTGCAAGAACTCGACGGGGGGGTGGGGGCGGTCACGTTTGAAGAAGTGACATATAAAAAGGAGGAAAGTGAGTCATGGTGGGAGAACAGACTGGTGGGGGGGGGGCGGTAATGAAGGACAGTCTTTACATGGTCTTGTTGAATCACAAGCATTTGATCTTTATTAAAACCATTGAAGAGAGGGGGGAATGCGGGGAAAGTACCTAACATAATATTGACCATTTAAACTAATTTGAAGCATCCAGCTCAGTGGCATTGTGTACATTAATGATGTTGTGCAACCATCCATCTCAAGAATTTTCTATCTTCCCAAACTGAAATTCTGTCAGCAGTAAACAACACCTAATTTCGAGTATACAGCTGTGCTGAGATTTTAAAAAGATAATGGAAGTGGTGATAGTGTTAATATCAATATTAGCTTCATTTCTCAAGATTATGTGGCATAATCTTGTGAGCTGAGAAGTTGCATACATTCTCTTATGTAATCTTATAAAGGAGCTGCTGATAGTATTATCACTATTGTTATCAGGAAACAATATTAATTACTATTTATTAAATATTATCAAAGATTGTTTAATATTTACTACTATAATTACATGTGTAATATTACACATATGTAATATAATAAAGTTAAATACAGTATATCATGTAATTGTATAATATTAAAGTATTAAATATTATTTATCACTATTATTAAGTACTATTACTATTGAGAAATCAGGGGAGGTGGCTGCTTTCTCTTAGGCCGTTTCTGTGTCATTTTTCCTTGTGCATGAGGGTGTTGGTCAGGAGGATGCAACCCTATAGTCTGGCTGCATCTCTGTGGTCCTCAAAGTGAGTTGAAAATGGTAACCGTCTTCTCTTCCACCGTGACAGCCCCTACCGGAATGTGACGGAGTTTGATGGGCAGGATGCGTGTGGATCCAACAGCTGGACGGTGGTGGACATTGACCCGCCTCCGAGGTCCACTGACCCCAAGTCACAGGCCCATCCTGGGTGGCTGATGCGGAGTCTCAAGCCCTGGACTCAGTATGCCATCTTCGTGAAGACCTTGGTCACCTTTTCTGATGAACGCCGCACATACGGGGCCAAGAGCGATATCATCTACATCCAGACAAATGCCACCAGTAAGTATATTGTGTGACAGGAATTTGTGGGGGAGTCAGGCGTCTTGCCTTTAATATGACGACATTGTACGAAGTTCGTGTTCGTTGCGTAAATGGATGGATGAGTGCTCACATGCTGTGCATGATCTGTGGTAGCGATGGACTCTGATTACGTCCCTCCTGTCCTGGGTGAGCATGCCACGTGTCTCCAGTTTTCTCTGGTGTTAAATAGCACTGCAGCAAACACCTTCATGGTTCGTCTAACCTGTGGATCCCCTCACACCCAGCCTGCAGCTCGCACCCTCCTCACAGTGAACCTGTGTCCTTTCACCTTTCCAGATCCTTCCGTCCCCTTGGATCCCATCTCGGTTTCTAACTCTTCATCCCAGATTATCTTGAAGTGGAAGCCTCCCTCCGACCCCAACGGCAACATCACACACTACCTGGTTTTCTGGGAGAGGCAGGAGGAAGACAGCGAGCTGTATGAGCTGGATTATTGCCTCAAAGGTGAGTGCAGGCCGAGTGTGGGAGCGGCAGGTTTCACACGCATCTGATCCACTCTCTTCCACGCCCGGGGACATATCTCTCCTCTTCCTTTTCCCAGTGTGTGCACAAGAGCAGACTTGCACACACACTCTGTTCCTCGTACGGAAACACACACATTTCTGAACATCACGACATGAGCACACACTCGGAAGTCTCCTGTGGGAACCAGGTATTTCCCATGTCTTGGCACCACTTCCCTCTGGAACTCTCTCCTCCTTCCCCGTCTTCCACTCTCCTCTCCCGTCCCACACCCTGTCCCAGTGGGGAAGCCGCTGTTACCCACAGGAGACTTCCCCGCTGGAGTACAGCAGCTGAGTGTGCTGCGAGGTGGTTGACAAAGTCAGGGAAGGATTTTGGCCCTTAACTTGAGACCCTTATGTTTGAAAGACCCGAGACAGCAGGAGCAACCATCTATTTCCTCCTGTACTTTCTGTTAGACATTTATACTGATGATGATTTTTTTTTAAGTTTTTAATCTTATTTATTTAATGGGCTTCCATCTATCTACAAAAAAAATATTTGAAGCCTCAAACTAGTTTGTAAAAATTAGTTTAAGGTTATTTTAAAAGTAGGTTTTAGAAGACCCTATCAAACTGGAGAAACAGGTCATGTTTTTCTTTAATTGGTTTTTGTTTGTATTTATTTTTCTTTAGATTTTGGGGGAATAGTGATATCCTCAGTCTTTGACCTTGGGCTGCTGGTGAGGCGTGGTTGAGGCCAGGAGCTCTGGGTAGGCTCTTAGCTGGACCTCCGACCTGCTATGGGCTGTGGGCCAGTCAGAGCTTGTCACCTGCTGCCTTATTTTCGGGAGAAGGGGCAAAAGGCCAGAGGGTCTCTGGGAGCTGTCCCAGGGGTAGGGTCAGGGCTATATGTGTGCCTGTGACCTCATTCCCTGCCTGAGCCACGGGTTGCAAACGTTATTTATCTCCTCGACTGCTTTATATAACTCGAGAGCAAGCAGCCCTGAGCAGCTGAACCCGGCAGCAGGGCAGTCAAAGCTCGCCTTTTTTTTTTTTTTTTTTAAGAGCAACAACTTTAATTATTTAATTCATTTTACTTTTTATTCTGGAAGTCTAAATATATCATTACAATTGTGACTATTTAAGTGGGGTTTGATTTCTAATGATCCCAAAGTTTATATAATTAAAAGGAACTTTCTAAGGACAGATAGTGTACGATTCCACTCGTAGGAGGTCCCTAGAGGAGTCAGATCCATAGAGACAGAGGAGGTGCAGGAGCCGGGGGCCGGGGGAGCCGGAGGGGAGGGGCTTCGTGTTTAATGGAAACAGAGTTTCAGTTGGGGAAGGTGAGAAAGTTCTGGAGATGGAGGGTGGTGGTGATTACATGATAATGTGAATGTACTAATGCCGCTGAACTCTACTCTTAAAAATGATTAAGATGGTAAGTTTTACGTTATGTGTATTTTACCATAATTTAAAAAACCCAATGCAAGCACAAATATATAAACTTACTAACACAATATAAATAAATATAGTAACCATAATGAGTAGTTTTTTTTTTTTAGCTTTTTGAGGTATAATTGACAATTAAATTGTATGATATTTAAAGTGTAAATTGTGTTAATTTTGATATACAAATTGTGTTAATTTTGATACACACACACACACACATTGTGAAAGGACTCCTCCCATCTGCTTAATTAACACCCATCACCTCACACATTGATCTTTTTTTCTTTTTGGTGAGAACATTTAGAACATATGTTAACTCTCTTAGCATATTTAAATTATACAACACAGTCTGATCAACTATGTGGCTTTTTATTGTGGTAAAATACACATAACATACAATTTACTCTCCTAACCATGTTAAATGTCAGTTCAGTAGCATTAACTGCATTCACACTGTTGAGCAACCGTCACCACCCTCCATCTCCAGGACTTTCTCACCTTCCCCAACTGACACTGTCTCCATTAAACACGAACCCCTCGCGTCCCTCCCCCAGCCCCTGGCTCCCACAGTCTCCTCTCGGTCTCTATACATTGGGCTGTCCTGGGTGTGTCATCATGCTTCACAGTCACAGAAAACCATGGGACACCACGTGTCATGAGTGCGTGCTGGAAAGGGAACAGGTGTCAGCCTGCACCTGATCAAAAGTCCCTGCCCCTCCAGAAAATTGTCAGGAACCCACCCCCACCCCATCACTAAGGAAATCCAGTTTTCCTGCCCATAGTGCCATGACTGGCCCTCTAACAGTTACCCAGCCAGGTTATTCCATGCCTATTAATAAACATAAGAAGCATTTTTAAGAGTCCCCTGCAGGTTTTAAAGCTGTGTGAGTACTGGGGCTTCCGAGGGGGTACCCACCATTCACAGAAAGGTACTTAGAGCTCATTGTCCATGGGATGCATTGAAGCGGAGAGGAGGGATGGAGCTTCCTTTGCTCAGTAGACACTAGCAGCATGGAAGGCTGGTGGCAGGAAAGGGGACTCGAAGGGACTGTCCTGAATTTTGCCCGTAAGGAGGAGTGTGCATTCTCAAGGCTGTACCCAGAGTGTGGCTGTGTGATTGGACCTCAGGGGTCAAGACAGAAAACAGCTTTGTATCATTAACACTGCTCCAATGAGAAGTTGTTTTGTTTTTTCATTCCCTTTTCTAAGCTTATTTTAAAACTAGAGGCCCGGTGCATGAAATTCGTGCAGGGGGGGCGGGGTCCCCTCAGCCCAGCCTGCACCACCCTCTCCAATCCAGGGCCCCTCAGGGGATGTCCGACTGCCGGTTTAGGCCCAGTATCAGGCCTAAACCGGCAGTCGGACATCCCTCTCACAATCTGGACCACTGGCTCCTAATCGCTCACCTGCCTGCCTTTCTGGTCACCCCTAACTGTCCCCCACTGCTGGCCTGGTAGCCCCCAACTGACCCCCTCCCCCCCCGCTGGCCTAGTTGCCCCTCACTGCCCCCTGTCAGCCTAATCGCCCCCAACTGTCCCCCCTGCCAGCCTGGTCTCCCCTAACTGCCCCCCCTGCTGGCGTAGTCACCCCCAACTCCCCCCCTGCCGGCCTGGTTGCCCCTCACGGTCCCCCCGCCAGCCTGGTCACCCCACGCAGCCTGTTGTTCAGTCGTTTGGTCGTCCCTCACTAACCCCCCTGCCTGCCTGGTCATAGGCAGCCATCTTGTGAGGGTGTGAGGGTTAATTTGCATATCACTGCTTTATTATATAGGATTTTCTTCCCAATCTCCCCTCGTGTCTGTAGTCCAGGGTTTCTCTACCTCAGCTGTGTTGACTTTTAGGGCCGGTTAATTCTCTAGGGTGAGGCTGTCCTGTGCTTTCTAGGATGTCCCTGCCCCCTGCCCTCTAGATGCCAGGAGTCCCCCCCCACCAGCCCTGACAACCAGAAATGGCTCCTGACCTTGCCCATGTCCCGTTGTGCAGCATCACCCCCGGGTGAGAGCCACTGCTCCAACCCACTCCTGGGTTCCTGAATGAGCTGTAGGTTCTTTTATTTGTGCTGTACAACTTGATGGCTCAGTGTAATCATCGGGTCTCTAAGCCGGGCCCCTCAGAATTCCTGGTAGAATTCTGCTCTGCCCTCTGGTCTATCTACTTATGCAGTTGATTGGTTGATTGATTGATTGATTCATTCATTCAGTGGTGACTTGGCTCCCTGTTCTTTTCTAATCCTACCTCCCACCATCCTCTCGTACATCATCTCGCTGCATGGTGTCCTTGGTGTCTCTGACACGTCGAGGAAGTTCCTGCTTTGGGCCTTTGCACGTGCTTTGTGCTCAGTCAGAACTGCTTTACACCAGGATCTGTGGGTGGCTCATTCCTGTGATTCATTCAGGACTGCTCAGCAGTAGACCACCCCCAGGCACCTCTCTTTTGACCCTGCCATCTGAGCCATGGCACGTTTATTATTAGTTTATTGTGTGTTCTGAAGCCTCTGTGCACTAGAAGTTTCATGGGGGCAGGGACAAGCTGGTTACCTTCAATATCCAGTCCCATGGGGATATGGTATCAGACAGTGTCTAGAACAGTTGACATGCATCTTCTCAGCTGGCACCGACTGAGCCCCTGAGAAAGGTCTTACTCTTCACGGTAGGACTTGAACTGAGACCCCAGCCCTGAGCTCTGTCCTGTGTGCCCAGCCCTCTGAGCAGGTCCTCTTTGCTGTGTGTGTGTGTGGAGATTTGAGTCCACCTGCTCTGCCTTTCTGTAGGGTTGAAGCTGCCCTCCCGGACCTGGTCCCCCCCATCTGAGTTGGAGGGTTCCCAGAAGCACAACCAGAGCGAGTACGACGAGGCTGCCGGCGAGTGCTGCTCCTGCCCGAAGACTGACTCTCAGATTCTGAAGGAACTGGAGGAGTCCTCGTTCAGGAAGACGTTTGAGAATTACCTGCACAATGTGGTCTTCGTCCCCAGGTCAGGGGCTCACTGGCTCGGGGTTGGGGGTCGTGGCCTCGGGGATAAGATGAAGTGGGGACCCTGAGAGTACGCAGAGTCCGCGCTGGGCCTCTTCCCCGGATGCAGGGAGAGATCTTGTGATTTCAACAGGAACTTACTAAGAAGAGCAAGCATTCATCAAAGCGGGGGGTGGGGGGAGTTTAAAAGGCCCATCCTCTGCCTCCCGACATCTCCGGGGCTCTTTGTCCAGCCTCCCCTGCCCTTCCAGGTTCTGAGACAAACTTTGTAAGGTTATAGATGCCAATCCTGAGAGATGCCTGCCAGCCAGGCCTGGTTTATCACCAAGTCTCAAGCTCGGAGCATTCTCTCTTTTAAAATCCTCTGTCAGCTTCTTATCCTTCTGGGACTTTGCACAGCATCTTCAGACCCGGAGACTTCTATTTAAAATGCTGTGTTTTCCGTTAGTACGAGGAGGGACTTGCTGGTGTACATTTGATCTACCGAGAGGGCTTGCAGTAAAAATGACTGTAGGCTTTTCATTCATCTTCACTTCTCTGCAAGCAGACCTCTGTCAGTGCCTCAGTTTACTCATCTCTAGAATGGAGATAGCACGTTCCCATCTGCGAGGGTCATGAGACGCCCGAGTCACACAGGGAGTCTCCATCTTGGCACTGTCGGCATTTGGAACCAGATCATTCTTTGTGGCGGGGCCGTCCTGTGCTGTAGCACGGGGAGCAGCCTCCCTGCCTCTCCCCCGTGCGGCCTGCAGCGCCGTCTGCATCATATTAGTTCATTAGTCTTCACACTCACCCCCTGAAGCAGGTGCCCCTCCCGGACATGGGTCCAAAGTCCGTGTTTCTGAGCCGACAACGACTTGCCCCAAGTTCCCCCAGCAGATGTACGAGGCACCTCCTGCCTTTTTACCCTTGACCTCGCCTCTTCACCCTTAAAGACTTCAGCAGCCAGCTGCCCAGAACCTCTGATACCATTGGCCATTTCCAAAGTGGATCGAACCCCAAAAGGCTTACATTGGGATGAAACAAGCTTCTAAAACGTGTCTTCTTGAGCCCCCACCATCACTCCGCATCCAGTAGGCTAGGTTTCCTCAGACCCATCAGCACGTAACTCCTCTTCCTTTCTGTTGTCTTGCATTTCCCTCCCATGGCCCTGAGGCCAAAAGAGCACTGAATGGCACAGAAGCATTGAGGCAGCTACTGTTTTGCCCACTAAGCACGAACGCTGCCGGACTCGGGGAAACGGCATCCAAGGGGACCTCCGAAGGCCACGGCCCGGGGGCTTTTCTCTGATTTTTTTCTCCCTTGTGCTGAGTTCTCCACGTCTGTGGGGGAAGATGTGGTTCAGGTGATGGGAACGTGGCCCGGGGGCCGGCACCTTGGGGCTGCTCGGACAGAATGTGGCTTCCAGGGTGTTAGAAGCAAGAGGTCTGTCTGTACTCAAAGTGGTTGGTTTTGTTTTCACAGAAAAATCTCTTCAGGCCCAGGTGCTGAGGACAGTAGGTACGACTCACCCGTGGGACATCCAGGTGGCCCCTGGCGGCCGCTCAGCGCAGGGCCATGGAGTAGGCAGAGCGGAGAGCGTGCTGTGCCGCCTCCACGACCCAGGGCTTCTGTGGCTTGATGCATGTGAAGGGCCACTCTGCCAAGACTGGGCACTTCACCAGTTCACACCTCAAACGCCTTCACCCTGAAGTGGGATCTGGGCAAGAATGTGGGGGGAATCTTCACTAACACACTTACTAAACCTCGGATCAAGGGGCTTCTTTCTGGGCATCTCCCAGATGCCTCCCCCTGCATCCACTCACCGAACGCGTATCCTCTGTGTGTGCAGAGCGGAGCCTGGTGTCCATGTGCGGCAGGTAGTGGGGAGGACTGACCTGGAAACAGAACGTTTTTTTATTACTTTAATCCTCACCCAAAGATATTTCCCCCCTGATTTTTAGAGAGAGTGGAAGGGAGGGGGAGAGACGCAGAGAGAGAAACATCGATATGAGAGAGACACATCAATTGGTTGCCTCCCATGTGAGCCCCAACCAAGGCTGGGGATCCAGCCTGCAACCGGGGTATGTGCTCTTAATGGGAATCAACCCTGGGACCCTTCAGCCCACGGGCTGATGCTCTATCCACTGAGACAAACCAGATGGGGCTGGAAACAGAACCTTTTTATTGGGGGTGACAAGTGTGAGACAACAGGTGAGAGCCAGGTGTGCCATGTCACTGGATTCCACTGAAGACAGTAAGGCATGCTTCCCTTTGAATGAACTTCTTTTGTTCTCTTAGATACAGTGTTGTCCAGGAGGTGAGGATGGGCAGACAGAACGTGAGGGGAAGGCGAGCTGGTGGGACGAATTAAGGGCTCTTGTGAGGAATAGGAGGCAAGACTGGAAAAGGCAGGGTGGGTCCATGCTGTGGGGTTTTTAATTTAATTTTATTGAGATATAACTGACATACAACATTATATTAGTTCAGGTGTACAGCATAATGATTTGCTATTTATATATATTACCAAATGGTAATCACAATAAGTCTATTGAACATCTCACTTAGTCACACATTTCTTTAGTCACAAAAAGTTCAGTCACAAAAGTTCTTATGATGAGAACTTTTAAGATCTACTCTCTCAGCTTCCAAATATGCAATACAGCATTATTAACTATGGTCACCGTTTTGTGCCTTTACACCCCAGGCAGTATTTATTTTATAACTGGAAGTTTGTACCTTTTGACCCACTTCACACACTTGGTTCACTCACCCTGGTGATTTTATTCTTTAAGCAGAGTGTCTGTTTGTTTGTTTGTTTATTTATTTATGTTCAGGCATCTGTGTAGCCCCAATCTTTCCTCTAGTGGCAACTTGGAATATAATCTTATAGAAAAGAAAGGTCTAGAATTTTTAAGCCTTGGGCCAGACCAGGGTTTCTGGATCGCAGCTCTGTTGCCACTTGGGACCAGATTGTTGTCATTTGTAGGGACTGCCCTGGTCTCCATTCACTGATGCCAGTAGCGCAACCCGTCCCCCAAATAGTGATAATCAAAAATGCCTTCAGATGGGCCCAGTGTCCCCTGGTTCTGGGACTGGGCAGAATCACCCTGGTTGAGAACCAGGTCTAGTGTGAGCTGTGGGACAATAAAATGCTGTGTATGTAGGAAGTGGAAGGATCATTGATGTTTGATCATGGAGGTCTTTCATGACCAATTTGTGGTCTTTTTGGATATAATCCTTTGGGCATATACATATTTTGCCTCTTTGAGGAGCTCATCTTATGTTCTCAGTTGTTGAGATATCAATTCCTCAATTATTCATGAGGCCTCAGCATCTTGGCACTATTTTCAAGGCCCACTTGTAGCTATACAGGAAGGTTTGAATCTTGCTAAGATGAATATATCCTTGGTTTCTATCTGAGGAAACCATTGGTCTTTTCATACAAAAAGGCCACAATGAAATTCATAGTGAGTAAACCTAAAGTAGGGTTTGTTTCCTGACCACACACCTTGTGACCACAGTGCAGTAACAAAAAACTAAAAGTTTGAGCAGAAAAGTCTACTTCCTGGTAATTAAAAATCAACTATTTAGCTCTGGTTGGTTTGGCTCAGTTGGTTGGAGCATCGTCCCATGCACAGAAAGGTCACAGATTCAATTCCTGGTCAGGGCACATAACCGGTTACGGATTTGATTTCTCCGTCGGGCCTGTGCTGGATCGGTGTTTCTCTCTCACATCAATGTTTCTCTCTCACCCTCTCCGTTCTTTTCTCTATCAAAAAAAAAAAAAAAGGCCCAGTTACTTAGATAACTATTGGGTCAAAGCAGAAATAGAAACTTCACTAAAGTCTATTTGAAAAATACGGAAATGCGAAACACATACCTGAGCTTGTAGAATATTGCAAAGCTGGGCTTTGATGCCAGTCAGCAGACATACATTGTTTCAGAGATTAAGTACAAAATAAAAATGTAAAAATATAAATGTATTAGGGAGGGAGGGGAAATCAATATGGCTAAACTTGTAAATAAAATCATAGGGAAAAACACAAAAATAATTAGAAGTAAAGAAGGTGCCATAAAACTAGGACCTAAGGAAGATTTTAATATGTTGCATTCCATGGACAATCCTGTGTTATGAAATTTGAAGCTTTCAGTGAGGTGGGAAATTTTAACTCATCTGAATTGATTCAAGAAGTAGAAAAATTAAATATTCTAATAACTCTGAAAAAGACTAAGAAAAGGTGTCAATTAAGTTTAAAAAAAAACACACACACAACAAAAAACAGGCCCTGGGCCCAGAGTGTTACAGAGAAGATCTTTGAGACTTTGAAAGAGCAACAACTTCCTATAATATGGAAGCTTTTCCCGAGCATAGAAACCTATGGAAACCTACCCCGCTTACTTTCTGAAACTAACATAATACCTCTTAGCAGAACCTGACAAAGATGCTGCATTGGAAGAAAACCCCACGACCAGCTAATATGGGACTTTAGGTCCAAATGTCCTAAATAAAACACTGTTGGCAATATTGTTTGTCTCAGAAGTGCAAGGATGATTTAAGATCCAGCGATATGAACAATGTAATCTAGTTCCAAGAGGCCCAGGAAGGAATATCATATAATTCATTAGATAATGTTAAAAATACTTTCATTTAGGTGGGGGAGGCAACAAGATAAATATTGCCTAGATGTAACCAATAACCAAGCTAACATCATTCTTAAAACTATTCCCGTTAGAATTAGGAGGCGTCCAATGTCATGATTACTAATTAACATTTCTCTGGGTATCTAGCTAGTACAGATAGACACAAAACAGAAATTAGAATTTAAAAGAATGGATATTTGCAGATATTCTAGTGTAAGGCTGGACAAATGCTGGCCCAGGACCCAGCTACCTGTGTGTTGGAGAAGTTTTATTAGGAATGTAGCCACACCCATTCGTTTCCATTGTGTCCATGGCTGCTTTCAAGCTACAGTGGCTGAAGGCCATGGAAAGTTGAGTAGTTGTGATAAAAGCCGTATATCCCACAAAGCCCCAAATATTCACTCTCTAGCACTTACGATAAAAGTATGCTGACCTGTTTACTGGTGTGTTCCTTGAAAACCCAAGGAAATCAACCATGAAACTCTTAGCACGAGAGGATGGGAAGGTAGGGACAATATAAATAAACTAAAGCCTGTGGCTATACGAGCAATAATTAGTATACAAAACAAGGGGAAAGATCTCTTTCATAATTGCCATAAAACCTAAGAAACCCCATGTACAGTTACTGTAAAGAAAAAATTTAAAAACTGGCTGAGATACAAAATTTTACAGTTAAATGGGAAAGACTATTTCGGGTCATTTAAAAAAGTTTGCTGGCAAACAAGAAGAAATCATGCAACACAATGTGTAAAGATTAATATCTTAAGTGAATGAACAACACAGGAGCGAGGATGTGGAAAAATAGGGTAAGGTGGACAGTTCCCTAGAGAAACACAAAAGAAGCAATAAAGGGAAGAAAAGTTCTCACTCAGCAGTACAAAGAGATACAAATAAAGCAGTAGAGTGATGTTTCAAAAAAATACCTCAGGTTGAAAATCTGAAAAACAAATAAAGGAAAAGGAAGCCCCACTGACCTCACTCAGTGTTACCTAGTGCAGCCAGTAACCACGTGGACATCAGGCCTCATGGGCCGCGTGAGACCACAGTTAATCTAAGGTCCAGATAGAAATTTAGCCCAATGTATTAAGCGTAACCTAGTGACTTCTCCTTGAGGAATCTACTTTTAGGATCAAATAAGACAATGAGACAATGGTCAAAGCAATATTTGTAATACCAAAAAAGAATTGGAAAAACACTCATTTTAAAAATATAGGAGGATGGTTAAGTAAATTATGGCTTATGCATAAATTGGAATATTTTAGTTTTCCAACTTTTCTGCAATGAGCATGTGCTACTTTTGTAATGAGGAAAAACCTCGTTTCACATTGAAAAAGAAAAAACGTAAATTCTGTTCTAGTTAGTATGTCTTTTTTGTTTGTTTTTGTTTTTTTAAATATACTTTTATTGATTTCAGAGAGGGAGGGAGAGATTGAAACATCTATGATGAGAGAGAATCACTGATTGGCTGCCTCCTGCACGCTCCCTACTGGGGATCAAGCCCACAACCCGGGCATGTGCCCTTGACCAGAATCGAACCTGGGACCCTTCAGTCCGCTTGATTCTTACAGGCTTTTGGCATCATATTTTGAACACTCACCCTGGGTGGTCTGTTACTCTGCAAAATGAAAACCTGAAATTGAGCAGGTTGAGGGTAACATCGTGGTCCGTCTACAGCGATGGCCCCGGCCCCGCGCCCTCTCCGTGGGCCTGCCCCCTCCTGAGGCTTCGGAGGGCATCTTGCAAGCGGCTCTGTTGTAATTCCTGGCCATTTGCATTTTAATTCACCTGCTCCCTCACATCCCCTGCTCCAGTCCTTTATTCTAAGCCCCTTACTCGCCAGTAGCATTTGTTTAAAGATGGTGATTGCATGACGCTTTGTGTCCTGATGTCGCGACAGGTCGTTGAGGAAACGCAGGGCCCTTGGTGACGAAGGGAACATGACGATGGCTGTGCCCACAGCTCTGGGTTTCCCCAACACCTCAACCATCGTGCCCGCAAGCTCGGAGGAGCCGCGGCCCTTCGAGAAAGTGGTGAACAAGGAGTCGCTGGTCATCTCGGGCCTGCGCCACTTCACTGGCTACCGCATCGAGCTGCAGGCTTGCAACCAGGATTTCCCCGAGGAGAGGTGCAGCGTGGCGGCCTACATCAGCGCCAGGACCATGCCCGAAGGTGGGCGGCACCCCACGGGGCCGGGATACACACGCTGACCAAGGAGGGGCCCCGCCTCTTAACTGATCTGCCCCCAGAACTTTTTATTTATTTTTAGCTTTTCCCAGCTGTATTGAGAAACGATTGACATATAACATCGTGTAAGTTCCTGTAACTCAGTTTACAAGGTGGTGATCTGACCCCGTCCTATATGCACTGTGATTATACGGCATCTGCCCCCCTACCATCAGCTAACACCTCCATCACGTCACATTATTCCCAGTCCTTCTTTGTGGTGAACATTTAAGTTCTCTCTTAGCAACTTTCAAGCACACAGTACAGTATGTTTAACTATAGTCACCGTGCTGTACATGAGCTACCTAGGAATTATTCATCTTACAACTGGAAGTTTGTACCCTTTGACCAACATCTCCCCACTTCGCCTCCCCCAGCCCCTGGTAGCCACCAATCTACTCTGTTTCTAGGAGTTCTGCTTTTCAGTCATTCAGTACTTGTCTTTCTGTCTGACCTCCAATCGGGTGCCTACTGCCTGCAAGGTCCATCCATGTTGCC